AACTAATTATAAAAAAATAAAATAGATGCATTAAATAAATAAATAAGAAAGGGAAGAAAACGGACACAGGACAACAATGACTTCTCTGCTCACTGCCTTGTGGCAGATTGGAACAACTTGAACGACACAAAACAAACAGACCCTAAAAATATACAACGAACAGTTTGTGGTTATTAGAGATTCACACGCAGCGGCAGATATATAGGCCTACCTCTAAAAACAAAGATAGAAAGACATAAAAGAAGTTGTTTTTTTATTCCATCTAGCAAAAAGCTATTGTAAGAATAAGCATCAATGTGTATTGCTCTTTCGAGTATGTATTTATATAACTTTAACTTTAAAGGTCTTGTAATCAAGTTCCTGCATGTGGTTGAATGATGCATCTGATGTTACATTTACATATACATTTTGTCAGCTTCACTTCTCTTTTCATTTTGAATATTAATGAGAGTAATAATATATAATTATTTTTTAAAATGTAGTCTATAACCGAATATGCGTTTACGTCCCTGTACAGCCAAGAATGATTTCCCTCTGGGATAATAAAGTATTATCTTATCTTCGTGTTTACAAATCTGCTTCCACTGTTTCCAGATGTAGAATCTTGATATCTAACTCTGTTTGGATGTGTGCCCCACAGTGTCGATGACAACTTCAGGTCAAACTTTATATCTTGGGACTTCATATCACTAAATCTATATCAGCGTTCGTAGAACGGGTCTGTATCTTGTCTTATGAATGAAAGGAAAATCCAAGTAGCACATCTACAAGTGAAAAACAATATCTGCACATCTAGAAAAATAGGCCCTATATGTATAGGAGCTCAGCAGTCAAGGACAAACGCTAAATAGGCTGTACCTAATGGCCTTGGTACAAATCCAGACTCTGACGCACAGAAATAGTATGCAGATCTCGACAGTCTTTTTTTCGGTAAGAGTTTTACGACACTTGCAATACAAAAAGGTTATATAAGTGCCGAAGAATAGATGTGTTATAAGAGAGTAACATGTACAAAAAAGAAGGAGGAGAGATAAGGACGACAGATGTTTGATAGGAAAGAAGGAGAAAACCACACCAGAGCGCCCTCCAACCACCCAGTTTCAGTGGGATTATTTCTTAACGTCATCTCATACTGGATACCTTCCAAAATCATCTCAATCTAGATTTTTTGGTTACACAGACACATGAACTGTCTGACAGTTAAATATAATCATGCACATGAACTAAACACGAGTAATAAAAAGAACTCACATCTTTGAGGTAAAGTTGCATTATGAATATACAGTACAAAACTCGGAAATACAACAACACAGAAAAATGATAAAGGGTGCGTAAGGATGGATGGATCAAGGACAATGTATATATATATAAGAAACAGCTTTGGGAGAAGATTCTGATGGCACTAATCTGGATGGTCATACAAGTGATATCTGTCACACACGGTGACCTGCACGTGGAATTATAAAACAACATCACAAGTGGTCACTTTTAGGCACAAGGGGGCTATCCCGAAAAATGCTGTTTTGAGAAAATTGAAGTTAAAGTTTTTTCCCCTTGTTTAATTTCTTTAAAAGACAAGGAGAGTTTTCTCTATAACCAAATAAATATACACACAAATGAAACAAAACTTCTCCTATAGGTAGGGCAATGCCCACTTTTGGTGTTGGTCCAGATTTCTGGGTTAGCCCGCTTGTCCTTAAAAGTGACCAAGTCATCTGCCACTCACCTCACACAATGGAGGATGCTCACACAGAAACATTTGTACACAGAAAAAAACAACTCTCTAC